TGTCACAAATTGCATTGAAAATATTTATTACATTTATTTGTTAGTTGTTTTTAATTGTTCATTTTATTTGTCAGTGAATCTATATTTGGTTATCGGGATCTGAGAGTGAAGCTATACTATTCAGCAGGTTGTTTAGAAACTTATTTAGGTATGACTTATTCAGAGAAAATAAACAAAGATCATTATGAGGGAGTTGAAGCCGATGAAGTATTATCAAAAGTTGCTGAGAAATTAGCTCCACAAGTACACAATAACTTAGACACATTTATTGAATCTTTGAAAAAAGATGATACATTCAAACCGCATGGTGAATTACTTCATTCATTTTCTATCAATGGTAATTTTTTATTGTATTATATTATTATATTTTGCTTATTTCATGATACACAGTTTTATATTAGAAAACATCATAAACAATTTAATTAATTAATCAAAACTTATAAATGATATAGATGAAGATTGCACAAGGAAATTTGATGTTTATAAAGCAGACATGACTTACAAAGGATTTAGGGAATATCATCAACGTCTTCAAACATTTGTTCTTTGGTATATAGATGCTGCTAATTTTATAGATATTGATGATGATAGGTGGCATTACTTTAATATGTAAGTTCAATCATGATTTATTGTTTACTGTTTATTAATTATGTGAGAATAAATTTTTCAAATAAAACAATCTTTTTACAATAGGTTTGAAAAATATCAGACAGCAGATGGTACTATTCGTTATGCAACCATTGGTTTTGCTACTGTATATCAGTATTATGCATATCCGCGTCATACTAGACCTCGTATAGCTCAAGTTTTAATTTTACCGCCATTTCAAAATATAGGTCTTGGTACACATTTATTACATGCTATATATCGTGAATATATTGGAAGAAATCAAGTCAAAGATATAACAGGTAAATGAAAATATGGAGACATATAATTATGACAACTACATTTCCATTCCTGTGTTCTGAGAAAAATAAAAAAAAAAGTGAGACTTGATCAGACACTTTCATTTCAGTAAATCTAGTACATTTTGGTAAGGCATTGTCATCATTGTTGCAGTTGAGGACCCTTCTGTGACTTTTCAACGATTAAGAGATTATGTGGACGCAATGAATTGCAATACGTTACCTAGTTTTTCACGAGAATATCTACTTCAGGGTTTTAATAAAACAATGGCTGTAGAAGCAAATGAAAAATTCAAGATTAATAAGGTTTTTGTCATATTTGAATCAACATATATATGTTTATAAAATGTGACATGATTTTTACTTTTAGAAACAAGCACGAAGGGTATACGAAATTTTGAGATTACGTGCAACGGATTTAACAAATGAGCAAGAATATCGAGAATACAGATTGGATGTAAAGAAAAGACTAAATATTCCTTACAGACGCGAACAGAATGATTTGAAAAAATTGGAATGTGCACTGAAGAATATTGATAAACGTGCAAACATAACTTTACCTGTATTAGAGCAACGTATACAAACGCTTGAGAAGGAATACAAAAGTTTAGAAGAAGAATATAAAAAAGTAATTAAACGTTTGGAAGATGCAGAAGAACTTTGAAACTTAATATTTTGTAATTTTTTTATTTTCATTAAGCTGTTTGTGTATGAGTCGATTGATACTATTTATGAATTATCAGTCAAAACTTTTTTTTATTGGCTCAATAAAATTTCTTTTTATTAAATAATTTATTACACGACTATATTTAAGTTATGATATTCATATATTTTAAGCTATAGTGTATCTATATTACTGTTATACCACACTGAAGTTCAAATATTTATACTTTGTAAAAAAGAAATACAAATTATTCATTATATATGAAATGTTTAAGACATAATGAAAATATTATCTATTCAGTAAGTTTATCAGTTTTTTTTTATCGATGCACATTTGCTTATATTCATATTTTTTTGTAGAAAGTGCACATACATGATACATATATTATACATTTGCACAATCGATAATTCCTTTCAATTTTTAATACTGTTGCTTAAATTCGTATGCACAACTATTTAATAGTAGCAGTAACAATGATATTTTTCAACTACCTTTTTACAAATATAAATTTTTATTTAACATAAAACAGTATCTGTAATGTATGTAGTATTAAGAATTTAATGTTTCAATGTCATCTATCTTAGATGCCGCTTTAACTTCTAATTAGTTCTACAAAAAAAATAGTAAAGTAAATTTAAACTTTTTATCAGTAATACTGTCTAGCAAAACCAATTTGAGGCTTCTGACGTCATCGCCCGATCAAATAAGCGGAAAACAAGAAATCAGGCCATCCCCACTACTCTTAGGTCATACATTGCAGCCGCTTGAGGGGAAATTGCGATGTAGCTGAACGTTTTAGACAAATGATTTTCAATCAGCTGTCGATAATGTAGCAACTTAATAAAAGAACAAGAAACAAGATGATTTAGTCGCCTTGTCCTCTTATCTGCGTTGACGTGTAAGACAAAATTTATAGCACCGACGTTAATTTAACGATATTCAGACTTAGTTTATTTCATTTTGTAATGGGATATTATTTGAAGAATGAGTGTTTCGCAAAAGGAAGTTGGTGTAGCGTGTAAGGGAGAAATAAATACATAGGCTGTAAAACAATACTGGTATATTGTAGCTTTTTGTGAAATACATTTTGTATAGTTATTTTACAATAAATAATTGATTTTTTGATAAATAATTGCATTTGTTCATTTTTCCTGAAGGATAGCATTAGAGAAATGCGATAAACAAGGAAAGATATAGGGATAGACAAGGACAGGAAATTTTCAAAGTAAAAGTAGCACCATCTCGTGTTACGTGACGCGAACTACGACTTTTTAATAGGAACACAGAATATCAACAGAGGTATTAGACAAGGAACGCACTAGTGTGCGACAAGGACAGAGAGAAAACGCTTCCTATTGGCTGGCGTATTGCCATCTTCCACCTCCCACGGACTAATCAAGTCGGCCGGTTAAAAATCATTAATAACTTAATAATGATCATGATTTTGTGAACTTTTAGAATTGTAGAATGAAGCGTGAACCTTCAGCAACTTTCTCGTATAGTTTTTAGCACATTAGGCCTGTTAGATAATTAGTTATTAACAATTTTAGTACGTGATGTCGGGAACGATATGGCATACTTTTACAGTTCTTCAATAATTTCATAGCTTCCTACCAATTTTTAATGCTCTTAGTTGTATGCATCTGAAAGAAGACTCCTTTAGCTATATTCTCATATAATTTTCATTAACATATTCTCTGTAGTTTGAGAGTTATTGAACATTATTTGGGTGAGTACTACACTCATCCCATTCGAGCGTAACGGATTTCTGTCATTTTCACGGCTATGCATGATTAATTGTGCACTTTCAAGCATGTGGAATATAGTACAGACCTTTGCCTACATTCTTCAATCATTGTTAAGTACATACGTGACGTGCTTTATGAGATATTCGCAATTGTTCATAAGAGTTGACTATACTTGAGTGCGAAGGATAGGAGACTCTCCGATGTAATATTTAATAACTTTTAAACTACAAGGGTTATGTTAATAAAAATTATATGTGAATGTAGCTAAAGGAGTTGTCTTTCAGATGCGTAGAGTTAGTTGCATAGAAATTTAGTAGAAACCTATGAAATTAGTGAAAAACCGCAAAGATACTTAACGCTATGAGGTATCGTTCCCGACATCACGTACTAAAAGTGTTAATAACTAATTATCGAAAGGGTCTAGTACGCTAAAAATTATATGAGAAAGTTGCTGAAGGTTCAGACTTTATTCTTCAGCTCTAAAAGTTCACAAAATCATGATCATTATTAAGTTATTAATGATTTTTAACCGGCCGACTTGATTAGTCCGTGGGAGGTGGAAGATGGCAATACGCCAGCCAATAGCAAGCGTTTTCTCTCTGTCCTTGTCGCACACTAGTGCGTTCCTTGTCTAATACCTCTGTTCACATTCTGTGTCCCGCGTAATGAGTCGTCAGTTCGTGGATCCAAACACGAGATGGCGCTACTTTCACGATGGCGTTACTATCGCCTCGAAAATTTTCTGTCCTTGTCTATCCCTATATCTTTCTTTGTCTAACACGTGGCATTATTGCTATCCTTGGCTAACCCTATTCCTTTCCTTGTCTAACTCATTTCTATAGTGCTATCTTTGTCTACCGCTGTTCGTTTCCTTGTTTACCTCATTTCTATAGTGTTATCCTTGTCTACCCCTATTCCTTTTCTTGTTTTACTCATTTCTGTATTGTTAAATACTTCTACGAGTTAGCACGCGTGGTAAACATTACTACTGATGGTACATCACCATCTTCCAATAAGAATTACACAAAAATTAATCACACAAATCAACCAAAAAATTTTACATTAAGCATTCAAAGTCCCTAGTACACAATGAAATAAAAGAACTGCTAAAAGATGTAACAAAAGTTATGAAATTTTATTAACTTAGAATCAAAGACGCAGTACAGGATGGACCTAACACCTAATGTATTTTTTTGTCCACGTCAAAAGGGCTAAGAGTGCCCTTACCATTTTCGTACCATTTCCAATGTTACCAACACGGCATAGAATAAGATTACAACGTTAGTAGCAGCTGGAATTAGAACTAAACGTAATTATAAAATTACAAATGAGTACATAAATAGGACATCATATATTTGTAAGTGTTTTTTACAAAAGGAAGTGGATATGTTGTTTAAAAGAGAAATAAAACATATTTATAAAACATATTGTATACTGTAACCTTTTGTAAAATACATTTTGTACACTTATCTCACAATTAATAATCGATTTTTTGATAAATAATTGCATTTATTTATTGTTCCTGATGTTCAAGACCTTTCCTTGATTTCTGTGGTGGCCTAAAAGTTCGATCTGTAATTCACACGAAAAGAATATTTACTTTAAAATATTAAATAGAAGTTATAAACAATTTCTAACTAATCTACTGCATGCAATTGTTAATTCAACGCGAAAGTGTGATGCCATCACAGACCGAAACAGTCAGTTTCCGTGCCTTAAAAATCGGTACGTGTTCATTTGTTACCGACTGCTGATAAAAGAGTAAGTGCGATAGCCTTATTCTATCGTGATTGGTTGACTATCAGCGAAGACGTAAGAGTAAATGCGATAGACTTATTCTATCACTATTAGCTATTTAACAGCGAGACGTCACAATTTCTCCTACATCTCCCACTTCTAGACTCTAAAGTCCGCCTGAAACTTCAAATTTGCTTTGTTGGACAATATAAGTACTTACATCCTAGAACATAGAAGATAAGAAATCAAAAGTCCTCATATATGATTTAATTAAATAATATTACAAAAATGAATAATTATAAAATCAAGGTAAGATCATTTCTATCACAACATTTAAAAAATTACATCTAGTTTATATTAATATGTTTTATAAACAGATAATTCAGTTTTTTATTAATTTTATACTTTCCAGTGATTTACACGTGAAAATTTAATCGCGTGTAAATGAATATTATACTTTTTTCTGTTGTATAAGATATAAACTACAATTGTCACATGTCAAACAGGTGGCTTTACATTTTTGATTTAAAGAATTATCATATTGGTACAAATTTATATAAGTGATTTATAGGTCGGAATAATTGGTGGTTCGGGTTTAGGTGATCCTCAAAATCAGATATTAAAGTGTCAAACTGTAACTACACGAGAAGAGGCCAAAAATGATTTTGGATTACCATCTAGTGATCTTTATCATGGAAGTATTAATAATGTAGATGTGATATTGTTATCAAGGTAGTGTTTCATCTTTTACAACAAATTAATATCAGTGATACACGATATAGTATAAATTTTATTTTAAAAAGTATTTTGGTCAATGACGTTATTTCCGAACTTTTTAAATAAAATTAGGAAAAATTATTTAAGATAGATTAACATAAAATGTACATATTTTCTTTTTAATGATACATTTTTGGCTTGTAATTAAAGTTTAAAAAGAAATTACTTCATATAATTAAATATAGACATGGACCAGTCCACAAAACAAGCCCAACTGCAGTAAATTATCGTGCAAATATTGAAGCTTTACGTTTAGCTAAATGTACTCATATACTTGCATCAACAGCATGTGGCTCCTTACAAGAATGTATTTTCAGAGGACAATTAGTGATCCCAGATAGTTTTTTAGATAGGACAATAAAAAGAAGTACAACTTTTTATGATGGTACTTCATCCAAATACTCAGGTAAATTTTGCTTTTGTAGTATGTTTAAATAATAAATTCTAGAGTAATAAGCATTATAATATAAATTCTAGGTGTATGCCACATGCCAATGGAACCAGCTTTTGATCCAAGTACATCTCAAATACTATTTGAAGTTGGTAAAGAATTAGGATACAGCATACAGAAGGGAGGGACAGTTGTAACTATAGAAGGACCTCGATTTTCTTCAAAAGCTGAAAGTAATGCTCTGCGTTTGTGGGGTGGACAGTTAGTTAATATGACTACATGTCCAGAGGTATCATATTCCTTTTCACATTTCTGTATCAATGTCACTTTACATAAAACTAGCATACAAATTTAATATATCTTTTAACTAGGTATATTTGGCAAAAGAAGCAGGACTTTTATATGCAGCTGTAGCAATGGCAACTGATTATGATTGTTGGAGGGATTGTGGAGATAAGGTTCATGCAGCTGATGTAGTAGCTGTATTCAAACAAAATGTCAATAAAATAAAAGAAATACTTACAAAGGCAGTTAAAATTATTGGTGAAAGAAATTGGGACAAAGAAATTGATGCATTACAGGTAATTTCTAAACTTAAACAATAAAAAGGCACTAAGCAACTATATCGTATTACAAAAAAATGAACATAAATTTTTCGTTTTAGGAATTGTGTCGAAGTAGTAATGTTTCTTCTTAAATTTCATAACTTTATACATTTATAATACACTATTAACAAAATACTACTTAATATATATTGAAGTGTACATTTAGTTCAAGAACAAGGACTCAAATTTATACATTTCTTACTTAAGAATTTTGAGAACACATTGTACTTTTTAATAAATATAATATAATGACGATGAAACCCGATGTTTATTGTTCAATATTATTTAATATTATTAGTATATCGGCTAAATGATGATTTGTATTTAATGTGTACACTCCCTAACAGTATAATTTTTTGATCATATGTAAGAATTTTATTCATGAGTTCAACATACAATTATCATTCAACTAATATTGTCATCACTATAACTGAAATATTTTTACAACTTACATATAACGTTTTTAATACATAGAATATTTTGAGATGAAAGGGTAAATCGAATTAAAAGAAAGTATATGAAATGGATTTTGGGCTTGAGCACCGAATTACATTGCAATAGAGGAAAGTAAAAATGTGGAGCTGAGTATTAAGGCTTTAAGTATGAGGAGTGAGCAAGAGAGAAAAACAGACAGAAAACTGCCAATATATCGGAAGTGTTGGAAGAAGAGAAAGGAAAGAGTAATTGTAAGCTTAATTGCAAGGTTTAAGTGTGGAAGATGCAAAATATACGGGGGAGCGGAAGAAAACGCGACTCACGTTCTGACGGAATGTCAGAACAGTCAAGGAGATTTGATGTTTGAAGAATTTCTGAGTAGGAAGGGAAGTGAGTTGGGAATGCGGAAGATCGTAGAGCAGAGAAAAAAAGGGAAGCGGAAGAGAGAGGAACGAGGTCTGATTAGGCAAAGCAGAGCCAAAGACAACCAAAGAAGGGTTATTACTAATGTCTAATACTAATATCTATTATTATTATATTATATTGTATTATTATTATTACTAATAATTTATTAAAATATAATTG